TAGACTTGTCGAAATCACTGTTAGTAACATTGTGAAAAGGACGCCTCTTTCTGGTCCATCCCTTCACAGCTCATTCATAGCCACTCCAGACGCTTCTGCTTCCACCATTGAATCACTTTGATAGCAGACGTTAGATTTTCAAAGCAAAAGCTGTTTACAACGCTTATATTTCCACGTAGAAGAGGGCGCTCGTGTCTCGTGTTTGGGTTCATCTGTCGCGTTTTTGCAAGGTCATATGGCAACCTCAAAAGTTTCTTGAAACAGAGTTATTTGCGTAACGTAAATTATCTGTTACTGTTATGCTGTGGAGCTAGGTGTGATCCCGGCAATAAAAGTTACCTACGGCATGATCGACATAATGCATGTACGCCTTCGGCCTTCTTTCTGCTTGTTTAGGAGTGGAATCCGAACGCTGAGTCTTTATGTAGACTCTATTTAAGGGTCTCTGGGCTACTTATCGGGCGGAAATTTGCTGAAGTTTTGCGATCGCAGCGGTGCTTTGTCTAACGAACGTTTTCACTAATCGTTGCGTTTCATTGTGTTTGACTATCTGAATGCTTTCCTTATTAATGTTTATTTTCGGAGCTGACAGTTATACAAATCGCGTCATTAGTTGCTTTTATGGACACCATATTTTAACAAATCCATATTATTATCTTGTGAAAAAAGGCACTATAGCTACCTTCATGGTTGCCATGCAGTTTCTTAGGCTCCTCGGAGGATATTTGATTGATAACGTCATTTTCAGGGTGGACAACTCTTAAATGCTATAAATGCTGAGATTTCGCAAACATATTTACTGGAAGACGATTGATGAATAGGTCAAAAACAAAGAAACAACTACTTTACGCTAGGTTTGAAATATGGTTTTTTGCCTTTAGCCGGTCAAAATCAGTGTATCATATGTGAGTTTTTATTCCACCGTTATTCGAATTTTGCTTTATTGTGGTGAGAAGCTAATCTCGCTGTTAAAAAATTGTTTTACAACTTCTCGCTTAGGGTTGGTACTGTTAAGCTGGATACGTTTTTTTGCCATAGTTTTCCTTTGCTCAATTATAAGAAAATCTGTTATATTTGGGAAAATCTGTACTTAGCAGGAATTGAGCATTTGCTCGCGTTGTTGTGCGAACCCAAGTCGATCTTAAAGTTGTTTACAATTCATTACAAATAGCTAACCAGATGCAAGCCTTTTATAGACGGTGTCAGCATTATACACACTCCGCCGTCTATATGTGGAAAACGTACCCGCGCTTTCTATTGATTATACGATGTTCCGAGCGCTTGAGGGCAATGCAGCTGGTAACTTATCAGATAATAGAAATTACTGAACTTTAAAAACGTGTTTCATACTCCTTCAAAATATCATGATTGGTGCTTAGTTATTCATTAACTAATTATCAATAATATTAATTATACTCGTAAGTAATTTCAAATACGCTGTCAACAACATGCTGCCATCTAAACACGGTTTAGGAATAGATATTTCACGGGATTGCTAAAGACTTAATTGCTTCGGTAATATAACCGGTGCAGTCCACTTCGAACTCTCAAATTCAATGAAATCATTAAAATCTCCGAGACTTGTTGATGTTATTGAAATGCCATTGTGCTGCGGCCTGGATCTTAAGGCACGAAACTCTAATCCTGAAACATCGGTGTGACATGCGAAGATTGGGTCCTTTGGGGTAAAACTTGAATTCAGCAAACGTCTTTCCGTAATCAGCCTGTACTTCTCTATGCTTTAGTTGCAATTAACGTGCCCGTATTCAAGTTCGTATAACATTTGTATGCGACTGTTCTATGGTGTTTCATATAACACCGTGATTTCATCCAGCATACATAGCTAGCGCGAGCAATCTTAATTCAAATTCGTGACAACTGTCATTGAAATTAGTATATGCTATTTTGTTTTTTAATTTAGGCAAACAATATAGCTAAGTCGCTTTCTATGGTTCGAGGTGACTTTTTGAATCAGAGTAATGGTACAGGAAGGCAAAATGAACTTTGAATTATTTCATTATACGAATTGTTGCATTAATATATTTTTTAGCTAATAAATTGTCTTCACATGGCGTGACAGTGCCCTTGATTTAGCTTTCCTATTCCGATTTTTCGAAGAACGTCGAGCCACATGGATACAGACCTACGCAGACTGTGGATAACATAGTTCAACTGTCCTCTATGGAATAAAATTGATATTCTCGTTTTCAAGTGACGTTTAATGATAATAGTTCCTCAAGCGGAACTTGGCGAGCTAATTAAACCTAGCGTACTCGAACTTCGAGGCTTCTCAAGTTTGACAGTTCAATGTAGAGGCTCACATGTAGAACTCGGCATTTCGTTGGCGAGAGGTTCTTCGATACCGTTGTGAGCACAAAGCAAACCAATTACGTGGTATTCTCGGCTATTAGGAAACTTCAGTAGACAAGCGACGCGAAGCTGTCGATCGAACATTGCACAAAATCGCCTAATCGACAGATCTATTGTCGCTTGCCAGGCAAACAGGTACCAGATTCGAAAGAAAACTAAGACCTTCTCGTTGAACACCTTCTGAGCAAATGCACAAAAGTTTTGTGCGTCTCCCCTGGACCACTGGCTTTGTACGAACCACTGGAAAGATGCACCTAACTGTTCGACGAAAAATGTATAATATACTACAGACAGCAAAAATTGGTCGCTTTAAAAATAGTATTTAGGACAGGAAGCACTTTTTAGACACAGGAATGAGCAGCGATAGAGAAATGTGTTCGTTCTTAACTCTGCCAGAGAGACTGCTAAAAGATTGCTATGCCATCAGATGTCTGAAAAATTCGGCAGATAAAAGAAGCAAGACTGCGATAGCCGTAAGAATAGCAAATCCCCAAGGACAGTATCGACGATAAGCAACTTTAGACCTAATAACATTGGCACTATTGTAGAAGTGAGCGTCTGTGCTGTTTGCCTGCACTGATTGAATCCACCCAACTGCAGGCCTCGATTGCGTTGCCGAAATTTTCGAGCAGTCTAAGTAAAAGGCGAACGGACATTGTCGCTTGTATGATATTGTCCGTCTTCGATGGCATAGGAGAAGTTCAATAGGGACCAGATAGGCGAGCATCCTTCGAAGACCGAGGAGCTAAAAAAACGTAATTGACATTCATCGGCTGCTTGATAGTTGAATCGATATAAACACAGTAGGCAAGACAACTTGATAAAGCGAGCCGAACTACACCCAGACGGAACTATTGAATTGACAAGCTTCGCAGAGAAATATAAGAGATTGGCATGAATCGTATTTCCAGCTTGTACATTTTCCAACAAAAAAAAAACAAAGCCAATGCTCGATATACATACATATATACAGTATGCTGCACTCTTTCCGGTGTGTCTAGAAAAACACTTTGTGCTACTACAGGAACTGGTTTTTATCTCTGGTAATGACCTGCTATAGAAAACCTGTAGTCGTACGAACAATAGTACTGTTACAGGTGGTGATCGTATTAGCGAAACCATCGTGGACTCGTGTGGTAAAGTACTGGGTTTTACTTATGCGATATTTTATTAGGTAGTATATTGATAAAAGCTAGCTGAGCTATTGCGGGTGTGCGACAGAGGCTCTATCGGGCTGATTTCTTAGAATGCCCATCAAGCCATGTTACAATTTGACATAAAAGTGTGTTTATCCGAAACTGTTGATGAATCACGTAAGACACGTTATTTATGAGAAGAACGATAATAACAATAAAGTCATAGAGTATAAGATTGAATTGTTTCAGCTAATGTACTTCACTTCCGTTCGATTATCTTTGAACCTGCACGAAAGGGAAGCTAAAACTTAAAGCCGTATATATTCCTTCTCCGTCGAAGAAAAGGCATCGATGGAGATAGATAAGTTCTCCCGAAATTCACAGAGTTTGCTCTTTACCTCAAAAAAGTTTAACTATTAGAATCTCTGCAGTACACGATAGAAATCATGAAAAAATTAAAGCTAATTGTTATGATAAGAATATAATAACCAGGAAGTTACTTTCATTCGGTAAATAGTAAATACAGGCAATGTCTATTCTTTAGATCAAAATATCTTTAAACATCAAATTTACTTCAGTATCGATGTAGTCCTTTACATTCTAGATGAGATTCCAATTTTCGCACTTTATTACGGCATTGGTTAATTGTAATAGATGCCGAGGGCGTGTGGACATTATTTTTTCCAAATTTCGCGAATTTTTCTAATGATATTTACTTGCATCGATATGTAGAATGTTCCTTGATTTAAAATGACAATATATGCGGGCACGGAAGGTTTCCTGTGAACGCATATACGTGTATCTATAAACTGGCTTCTTAATATCGTCTGTGATTTGTAGACACTTAATTTACAATATTTAGTGTTCGTAACTTTAGCATGTTCCGTGCGCCTGAGAGGCAACATCACAACAGGTTTCTCTATCCTTTTTTTGGCCTTGTCTGCGCCCCTTTTTCCCCTCTGCCAAATGAAACATGCCTTACACATAAATTGCTTTTTACAAACGCAAATGTATTACCGCGTAACGGTTTTCATGGATAGCTGTTAGCGGATCATCACTTTCTAGTCTTAGAGCCTTTTTTGAGCATGACGCCATAATAAGTCAAATCAAAAAAAAAATTATACCCGAAGATTATCAGAGAAAAATATCTGCAGCGTCTGAAAGACTGTCCTCGTTTTAACAAAAAGGTTATGCGGAAATACATAAAAAGAGCTCCTTCGCATCGCAGCGATTCTTCAAACATCTCAAATTATTTATCTAACTGTATCTAAACTGCGTGTTAAAGAAATTGTACAATCAAACTGCGACGCCAGATGCCTAAAAATAATATTGTGTTTTGCAGGGGCGTATTACCGCTAAATAAAGCGGAAGTGTCGCGTATACCTGATCTTGTCGTTTATTTACGCACGGATAAACAAAATAAAAACATGATAATTAACAATACTGAGCTTTTCCATTTATTGTGGATCGTAATCGACGCAAAAATTATAAGATCACGTAGTCAATTGGGAGGTTGATTTGATGAGCGGAAGTTTGCTGTTTATGCCAGAGCTGTCGTTTCGACTGATCCATTAGAAGCCCCATCAAACCTATAACGCTTTTCTGGTTTTGAAAGTTCTGTATACAATGCGATGTATAGATTCCGACAGGCGATCGGTGAAATATTTTTTGAAACAGTAGTGAGAACGTACCAATCGGAAAAGTTTAACGTATAACAGATTCTATCTAGCATATACCGCTCTTTACTGTTGAAGTACGCCATCAGGCGAACGACCCGAAGCCGTCGTGAAAACAGCGTACCTAGTCTCCAGATGGTCACGGAGACTGATAGTATTAAAAGGATAATATACCAGAACCACAAGAAAAGGAAAATTTTTTCGTTGAACACATTCTGGCCAAGTAAACATAGTGCGTCTTGCCGTTGGACATCTCCGCTAACTCCGTAAAGGTGAAAGGTACATTTTGCTAGGCGCGGGAAGACCTTGAGTAGAGTACGCGGTTGCATTAATACCATCACACCTAGTGGCACGAACTGATAATCTAGCAAGATATTGGTAAGGGCAATTTGACAAACCAGATTCAACAGAAAAAGGGACTCGGTGAAATGAAAGTAGAAAGCAATATAAGCGTGCGTGCCCTTGTGGGTGACGAAGTATTTCGTTAAGATATTCGAGTCGTCCGTCGAGCAAAGCTGTTCGAAGAAACCGCGGTCATGAAGTCGCCAAATATACCGCGGAAGATAGAAAAAGAATGACTGCATTATCAGTACAAGACACACCCATTGATAGTACTTGTGGTAGATTACCTTCGACCTGTTGACATTGGCGCCTTTATAGACACCGGGGTATGCAGTATCTGTTGCTTCCGGAAGAGTGAACGTAGCATGTAGCCAACAATACGTATGCAGCACGTTGCTAGGTATTAACTCGGGATTTTGCACGCAGTCTATGGCGTTACCGAAATGCTCGACTGAGGTCACGAGGAATCCAACGATCACGAGTACGGACGCAGTCACCTTATAGTGCAGCTTTGCCACTACATTGTTCGTCCTCAGTGGCGCTCCGCGGATAGCATTGTACATAGGTTGGACCAACAAGTCGAGCATTGTATTGATAGTCGCCATGGCGGATTTAGTCTATAAGGTGTTCCGTATGTACTATAAACTTGTAATGAAATAAAAAGGCAATCTCACTGCTGAAGTTCTCATCCAATAATAAAACCAAGTGTCTGTACCTTCGGCACGAATCTTCTGACACAATCGAGCGGGCGCGGTGGCCAGTGCACAATCTTTCGAGGCGCCTAATTCTCTTTTAGTAGATATTCCATACCACAACGCACAATGATTTCGCAAGTCCTACGATGATCGGTCCATTCTATGTGATGTATAAAAAGGCTATGATTCGTGTCCTGAGTATAATTGTGCTGAGTAGGCAACTTTGTCTTATCGTCGGCCAAACTGGGTGGCGATGACTGCCGGATAGAGGTGATCGGTAGCTGTGCGAAAGGCAGGTTACAATTTGCCCTTCTTCGAACTCACCTGCACGGAAGTTATAACCTCCCCCATCCGCGTCGCCTGTGTGTCGGCAAACGTCGCGCTCATTAAACTGCCATTCATGAAAGCAACGGAAGTCAAAGCAGAAACCTTTGCGGCATAAGCACAATCTACAAGTAATAAGCTTGCCGATACAGTGGCGTCAGCGTCATTGACGCGATTTACGAATGTCATCTCGCCAGGCTCGTAGGCCACAAGTATCGCTCGCCTAGGCATGTTCTTTCTTCCCTCTATCACCGTTTCATGTCTCGTATCAACAGCGGAACACAATGATTCCCGTTAATGCCAATGTGCTAAAAGGATCTTCGTGACGTCCTCTACTAAGAAACATGATTTCATTTTCCTATATATGCACATGTTGAACTACATTTGGAAAGGTAGGTCCTAGATGCTCCTCTTGAAACTTTCGAGATAGCTATTATATAATAGCAATAATCGACTGCAGTTATAACTTTTCAGAGTTCTCTGTAACGTGCGGAAAAATCGCCTTGAGAGTTGTAGAATCGCATCGGTCGTTCATCCCTACCATTTGTAGTGTTGAGCAAAATTTCTAGATAATTACTGTACAGCAACCTTGGAGTAGATACATACACTGGTAATTACCGACCAAAACGGTATAGATAGACGCCCCTAGTCGTTACGATCAGCTGCCTCTTTACAGATCAGAAGATAATCCACGGATATCTGAGTAAGCCACGTGTGACCGACGGTCATGTGTATTCTGAACTGTAGGTTGTTCCTTAATCGACGCTGTAAAGATATAGGCGGTTATACTAGTTGCGTAGTTTCCATTAAGTTTATAAGAATGTTTGTCTTTTACGAAAATTATGTGGATCCGAATTTTTCATAGGTGTCGAGATGCAATGTTGCTTGAGTGATAGCGTTGAAAATCTTCGCCGGTAATTTTAAAAGACTCTCGATATTAAGAGCTCGATATGCAGAAAAAATCCATTTTTGGAATAGTCGCATACAGCACCGTTATATTCGGGAGCAAAAAAATCGATTAACTAAATCTTCTAAAATTATGGCTACTACTTATAAAACAGTGTAGATATAAATAAACGTATATGCAGCATTGCACAATCTGTACAAAAATCGGGAGGGGTAATAGCGTTTTTCTTTTTTTGTTGTTGCTTTTCGCTTGAAAAGGTGCACCATCGTGTACACTATATAATATGGCACTTATTTTCGGAGTGTTTCGTTGCCATTTTTTAGCTCTATCGGATCGAACGCTTAGGTTTATCATTTTATACACGTTCACTGCGAGCCTTTGTCACGTTTCTTTGTAATATGCTTTATTTTTTAAAATTATATAGAAAACAATTATAAAAAGACGTGGGTAAATGCCATTCAGATGAAACGAAGACCATTTCTACTTTGGTGGTTTTGTGTTCGTAAAGGTTTCTACCTAATTTAGTACGCTGTGGCTAAAGCATCGAACAGACGGGGTGTCCGTTGTTACCGATTACTTCACCGAAGCTGCCTAGTTTAATAATAAATACTGATCAAATGAGTTTAACGGGCCATTCGCTCAAAAAACTAAGCTTCAGTTGTCCAAAACTAGCTACGTTAGGACGAGCCTAACTCAAAACGTACGTAACAAATACTAAGTTATACTCGCATACATTTGTGTTCCTAAAGCAACTAAAGTCGTTACCAAAATATATGTGCTTGAAGAAAATGGATTTGGAGAGAAATAACTGAGAACAACAATAGAGTTAATCATGGCAACATTCGAGCTTGTATGATCTCACATTGAATGAATGACTATTACGTTGATTCAGCTGATATTATTACGTTATTTTATATTATGATCTATTATAATAACCACTTGAAAAAACAGACATGAGAACAACTAGTTTATTGTATACCGGCGACATATTAAAACTGTTAGCCTAAACTAGGTCGGACGACTCAAGTTGGTGCCACTCCTATAGAGATACCGTATCTTATTGGTCATCTGTGTAAAAGCAATTCATCTGAGTGCAATTTTCTTATGAGCTCCGTTGTATTAACTCTTTCATTCTATACAATCGCTGAATTGCGTCTCTGTAGCCTATTACAAAATCGTTGGAACACATGTGGCTGGTGTTGATCCTTTTTACGTCACTGGCAGCTTTGCCGATAGAACCTGCTTTGTCCTATAATTGCTAACTTAAGCAATACACCCGATCTGACTATAGTCGGATGAAACTCCGTTGCCACCCATTCCTAGTAAAACTGCTTTTACCGTTTTGCCTAAAGATGTTACCAACAACTAGAGAGCATATATATATATATATATATATATATATACATGACATCGATCAGAGAGCGCAATCATTTGTTCGCGAGGATCTATCTGTCTTGCTTGGTGACGTCGCCATCTCAGCTGTCGGCAGAGTTCATGGGAAGTTATTAATCTAGAACGTGTATGTTTTTTGTAATTAAAGCATAAACAATAACAGTAGCAGAAACAATGGTAAAACAAATACAGCTATCTGTGTGTGTGTTTTTTTCCTTTATTTTTGGGTGCACGTATAAGAAAGGAAGAGTTGAAAGCGCGGATACGTCACTATTAATTCATACGAAGCGAATTACGACCTCGGCAACGCGACCGGTAAAAACAGAATAGCTATCACTGCTGGTAATTAATTAATTTTATCCTTAATTTTTTGCCGCGCCCATCGACTCCTTTCCCTTACACATTACAGCACTTATCATTAATACTGGGCTCTGTACCCAGGATTAGCCTTTGTCCCCACACCTTATTCCGCCTTAAAGCCAGCGAAAAGCAGCCTACTCCAGAACTGCTTACTTCGTAACAGCAAAAGAGAAAATGAGCAAACGAAAAATCATCGTATGTCTACTGGCCAGACTGGCTGTTACTAGATCAGTCTATTAGAGCGATATTTGAATTAGGCGAATGTTTCCAGTTTTGCGTCCGAAGCGACTAGACATTGTTTCAGGAAGTCGGTTTACGCCTGATTCGAACTTGTCCTTAGGTGCAGTAGGCAAACATGCTATACCCGCATTTTAGTAGAAACAACTTTATGATTAAAAGTAAGGAAGTGAACAATAGAGATTTTTCAAATAATTGGTAAAATTTTGAAAAAAAGAAGCAGAAAATGTTTTTGTTGCAGAGTTGACCGATACAGTTTTTTATCTCTCTGGGCTCAAAATCAAGTTGATGGTTGCCTTAGAAGCAAAATGCATGAGGCATTGTGCCACGACGCTTGTAGCCATAAGGTCCGTAGAGACTTAATTAGCTTTTTGTTAGAACGACACTGTAGCACGCTGCACAGACTAAGCACCGATTACTGCCCTGTCAATCCGCAGACACGCGGAGAGTAGGGAGCGTTTTTCTGGGCTTCCGGGATGGAATGAAATTGAAAAAACCGCTTGACCCACAGCCAAGAACACCAACTTAACTAGCTGTCTCGACACCGACCGCTAACATAGGCAGTGCTTTAACGAACAGCCTCGCTTCATGGTTTTATACGCGGTGCAGTCAAGCAAATCTGGATGCTCTTAAATATCCCCCCAACTCTGGGTAACGACATGCTTCTTAAGTCATAGCTAAGGACCAGAGTGGCGATCGTATGCAGAGGTGGTACTATATGTCACATATTCTCTGGGTTTGTCTTACTTTCTTTCCCAGTTCTTTGACTTTTTTCCTCTTATGCTTCAGCAAACCCATTTTCGTTAATAAATCGCGCGTACAGCCATCCAGCGACACTGCAGCTGTTGCTAGCTGCACCCGATGGTCTGTCGGATGAATCCGGATTTCGCGCAGGCCACTGTAAACAGCTGAACAAGCAATTGCCGCCTCGAAATCGTGCCGTCGCAGTAGCAGCATCACTATCATTAACTAGACTAGATAAGATTACCCTCTGCCACCAGCAGCAGCGCCACCATTATATTGGCTTCCTCTAGCGGCACCCCTCTGCCGTTTCATTTGCCCGTAATAACCATATGGTAAAAACAAAAAGAAACAAAGATTTGTTCATGTATACATGTATGTACACATCTATATACAAACATAAGCACAATATAGCTGTTGTAGGTAACAATGACAAGAATGGTCCAGCGTCTAACTGGGCATTTACTATGGTAGCCTTGCGGCAAGTTTCAAACGGTAGGTTTGGTCCTAGTTAAAGCATATTAAATAAATAAATGGTAATTGTAGTTCAAAGTAGCCTGGGGCGCACTTTTAAGAAAGCCAAAGGACAACAGGTTATTGCTCTATTTGTATAATGTGGAAACTATACAAGAGCGCATGTAATACCGTATTAATAATGGGTTACAGGTAAAACGTAACACTAACGATAAATATCGAAATATCTAGCTAGCAAAATAATACTAGTGTGTATGGCGTGCACAGCCCTGTCAAGTCACTTCCTGTACGGATCCTAAATTCTATCAAACTGATTTGAATAGCACAGAACCTATCGGGTAAAATCATTGTCCATCGTAGAAACATAGCTTGAATAAAGTTTTCTACTATATTTCTATACTACATCAGTTTATCGATAGACTTTGCAGCCGATAAAGTCCTAAACAATGAACAATCTTTAATACCGCCTAGAAATTATACAACATTACCTAGGCCACAGTTAAAAATACGCATATATTTTTGAGGAAGTGACAAACTGTGACTATCCTAGAATAATTGGCACAACGCTAATAACCCTGCGCGTCTCAATAATGACTTCAAATAGGGCGAGAGGCACCAGACCTGTTATAGGACTCGCCAATCGAGAAGGCTGGAAAAGCTTGCGGAGATCATTGTTAGCCTTGGATGCCAGAACATGTTAAGTCGCTCCTGCATATGTTTTCTTCTATCACATATATGACCGTCGTTAATTGTCGTTGTCTATTCAATACATACACATACACGCACCTATTGTGGTGCCTGTGCACGCAGTATCGTGCACAGGTGAAAACAGCCTGATATCGAAGGATACTTGGTGCGCGATTTCTATTCGCCAAGTTGTAGTCCACTTTCTATAAATAGTTCTTTGAACGAACAGCAGTATGGCTTGAAGTTTATTTCGATTTATCGCGTCAGATTGTGAAGCTTGTCTAGAAGTACGTGGAGAGCACTCGATAACTGAAGGTATCGTCAAGTGCGGTGTCACTTGAATAAGGCCCCCTAAAATCCTGAGAGAATTAACACTCTTGCCCGGACACGGGCTAACTTATTCTTTCGAGACAACAAAGGTTGTTGATAGCGTATACCGTGCCCAAAAAGAAACTGCTCCAAGCGAGTTTCCGAGCTTTGCTCGATGGAGCTGATAACGTGTTAATGCAGCATTTGACGAACATCGATACGAGCAATGTGGACAGTAATAACTTCCACCATAAAATCATTTAGCTGTTTTAAGTTTTCGACAATTATCAAACTTTCGTTTTTATGTGCGTGCCGTTTAGACACTTTCGGCATGTTGCAATATTGCCCGCTAGTTCAAGAATGAGTTTGTCAATGTTCAGACTATACGTATGCGTTATATTATGGGAAATGCCTCAGATGTTGTCAAAAGCATATGATTTGATTAGAGCTGTTAGCCCATCAGTGTTGAATTTTACCAACACCTATCAAGTGGTTATGATTTAACCCATATTTCCCAAGTAAGGCAACCTTCAGAATTTTGGGCTTATTTTCCACACTAGCACCTATCGGCTGTCCTTGTATCATTTAGGTTTGTCCTTCACAGCCAGAAGTTCGACCTTGGGCGCGCTATCACCTGGCTGATACAGTCGCAGTCTCCAGGAGCTCCGTAAATTCGCTTCGTTTGTTTGCCGAGCCTGACGTTTTGCAGAATGCACAAGTCACTAGCCTGCTTTAAATAATAGCCAGTCATGGCTATTATTTAAAGCAGGCCAAACCATAAGGTGCTTGGCTGTATAAAGGGCAATTGTGTTTGAAGCCAGTAAACTGTCGTATTGGGACGCACCCAAATAGGTCCACCGCCTTGAGCGGATACAAAGATCTTATCCGACAACATTAGATCACCTTACGAATATTTTTGTTTCCGTAAAATCTTTTGCAATGGTGAGATCGAATGTTTGCCATGTGCATAAACTCTACTCTTTCGGTACTTTATGCTGTACTGAACGTACTGTTCAACGTATGTAAAAAAGAACTTAAATAACGTAGGGACTGCTTTCTTTATTTAAAAGCACTGATGAATAAAGTCCAGTATGTCCACTTTACATGAGCGATCGATCAGCTTCTAGTAACAGCAGTAGCTTTTACGTCTTTTGACAGATTCGTAGACTTCGACGATTTCGGCTTCGGGCTGAAAGTTTTTCATACTATCTCGCTGTAACTCGATAAACTACATATGCGCTCATGTCCTTAACTTTTCATTCTACTTATATATATATATCTTTCACTTTGATTACATATTCACGTTGCTTTCAAACATTCTCAATAAATTTCATCGTGTCCTTTTTGATCGACCGAATCTTTTACTTGGAATGTACATACGTTCTATTCTGCATCGGATAACAAACGAAACGTGCACGGTTTGTCCGATCATTCGTAGATGCCTTTTTTGTGCAATGTTTCCTCCTCGTAGATGTTTCTGATTGAATGTAAAACCGCAATCAAGCGGTAGTCAGTATAGAGCTGACCCACTCGTTTTGCGAGAGTCAATATATTAGATTATTATTAAACGACAGTATTCTGGTTGTAGGTCTACGCTGAACAGATGTGTACGGCAACTATTAAGCATTTGGCAGGACACTGGAACAGAGTTTTAGGTCGTATCACAATAAGGACCTATCGGTCTTCATTGGAAGAATGTAGAACACGCCATTGGGCCCATTTTCAGAGAGCGCATGTGTGATTTCTTTGTGTTTTTAGCAGTCTTTAGTTAATGTATCAGGGGGCAACGTGCAGATGCACACAAAAGCCGTAAAGAAGATCTTTCATCCATATCTTTTTTTCTAAAAAGAATGATAACAGAACGTAAGAGGTCGTATGCAAATATTTGGCTTACCGTAGGCAAATTATTGGAGAAACGAATAGTAGATTGTGGTGGCAATCTTGTGCACCTGTATAGGCTGAAAACAATATCGCTGAATTAAGGCTTCACTTAGGATAATTCCGTTACTCAATCAACTGAAAAAAAACTGGTTTCAAAAAAGTGGCCAAGACCGTGTTGAAATTTGGTTGAACTCAATAATGCTTTAGTTCGAGGATAGATTATTTAGATAACAAAAAAAAAAAAACCTTCAAAAATTTCATCACAACAAACAATTCCCGCAAACAGAGTACACCAATGATGGCGGATATTTTTTCGTACGTATCCAACTACAATTCATGTTGGCATATCTATGCCAATTATTAAATCGAAGCTCGATATGACTCAGGAATAACTGGGCATTAATTGATTGATTCATAACCTACGTTAATAATAAATGAAAAATAAAATAAAGCTTTGATTATTTTTGTTTTTAGCTAGTATGATTAAATAACTTGCGTAACTCTTCATCATTAGATTAGGTAATTTATTTATTATTCTGTGTGCGGTAACGGTAAGAAAGGAACGTTTTAGGTTGTGAAAGGATATGAATGACATTTTTTGTGACAATACACTTAAACTATATTCTAACGATAAAATATTAAGTTACAAATGTTCTAGCAAAAGGGAACATATATGCTCCAAGTTAAGTAATTCTCTAATCAGATTTCGAAGTTAAAACGGTCGGCCAACTTTCCGAGCCTTTGTTCCGAATGACGTAAACCATAATCGTCCCATGCCAATGTGAACGTCATCCGTCATCAGCTTCGCGACAACTAGTAACGGAAACATCCACAGCAACCGCGCTATTTCATAAAAAGCATAGACGTTCAATGTACATGCAAACGTACCCCACGCTTCTGTGGATGTTACTGCGATTAAGCAGATCATTCGGCTTAGTGTGGCCGTCATCGATGGGAACTCGCCAGTATATTTACTTATCGTTACCATTGAAACTTATTGGCTATATTACGCTATGCGTAATATAAATAAACAACAATACAAATAAAGGATTTATCGCCGCTATTCGTTCTAGCAGCAGCTGCACACGGATGGTAATAGTTGAGGTGGGAAAGGGTTGACAGCTGTTTCGGAGAAACTTCGCGATGACGATTCATCGATGCGCGCGTACATTTACGCGCCCAACCCCCACACGCCGTCAGCTAAAGTGCGCGCACCCCGCTTTAACGTTCCGAGCAAGACGGTACAGATCCACTGAGAACTCAATACTTTTTCAGACCAGTTGCGGGATTACCAGCAGCTGCTGGCAGCAAGCAGCTGGACGTCGTCAGTTGCGGAGACACGGCGGAACTGTGTCGTATCCTTACGGCGGCGTGTCATCCATGCTAGTCCTTGCAGACGAGTCAGAAGAAACAAAAACTGCAGCACAGGGTATCCATTAATAGCTGTCATTCCGTTTTGGTTGTCACAGTGTCTGGTGTCATGCCTAGAGTAAAATCAACGAAAAGCACCGGTTATGAAGTATCGGTCGATTGCGTGATCGTCGTGGCAGCAGAGTAGTGGCTAGTCTACGAGCAGTCGTCGGAGGAATTGGTGGTCATAATAATTACGATGGTATTCGTTCGTTTCTTTCGTCGATAGCTGTTTCGCCCACGAGTGGGCAAGGCTGCTCACGCGCTCTGAATAGACTAGCATGACACCGCAAGACAACAGGATATCGCCGACGACAACCATCATCGTTGTGTACACGCACGATTTGGCAGGAACTTCCATCATGACGACGAATACGGTTGCGGCTTGATAGGAAAACGTTTTAGCTTTAAAGAAAGCATATACGATGACGGTAAAGGCGGTGGTTCCACTAATGGTATCAGTGCAATCAGAGTTACCCGGCCCGTCCACTCAGTAGTAGTGGAAATAAACCTAGCCTAAAATATCGACCCGAAGTGAATTATCGGACATCATACAGAGCAGGAGTACGATCGATTAGTAGGTGGCTCCGCTGCATAGGGTCTAAATACTATTAATAACGGCCGGGGGGTAATAAGGGTGGTGGAAACGACGGAACAATCCATTGAACTAAGCAGCTCCTGTCTAAAAGTCGACAGATTAGGTGTAAACATAACTAAATTGTGACGTTTGTGTGTCCGTGGTAGATACAGACTGGTTGATTCGAGCAAATTGTTGTGCCATTGGATACGACGCATCAATCTACGCTATGAGGTAGAATACAATTATTGTCTATAATTTTCTTACGCTTTTGTCCCTCGTATTAATTTGAATTTTCCTATTATAATGTAATAAGTAACCTGATGTTTTTTTGTTAAATTGTTCGCTAATTTGCTATTGGTTAAAGATTTTCCGCCTTTGTTTTTCTGAGTTAAGATACAAAGGTAGGATTCAATCGATGACCTATAATTTTATAGCAAAGAACATTTTCTGCGATGTTGACGATGTTTGTAAATCTGCGATATATTCTGGTTTTTAGACGGTTGCCTCTTTAAGCTCTATTAGACTAATAACTTGTGTATGGCCCAGGATGTTGCGGGTAGGGGTTCAAAATACGATTATGAGGACAATCCCATAAAGTTAGGTTTTTTTGGCAAACTCAAACATTAGATTATATAATGCACTATAATAATAATAATAATAATAATACATTGCCATATAGTGAAGTATTTACGATTTTATAGATATATGTTTCGAATTTTACGTGATCGGGGTTGCATCGAAGCACTTACCAGAAGCGAAGCGCTTATCATGGATAATTTATATATATTCACACAACGTAATAAGGACGTCATAGCCTTAATTGAACATTGAAGGGGAAATGCTTAGCTTTTAGCATCACTACTATTTTTAGCGGACATTTAATTAATAGTTATACTAATAGTTTTACGTATGATCTAATGTTATAAATTGTTCACGAGCTATGACACACGGTAAATATCGAAAGCAACACCCAATAAGTTATACGAAACAATGAGAGAGAAAGTTATCTTCGTGTAGTCCTGTTTTATTGTTGGACCTCTGCAAACAATTGTATTCAATAAAGGTACTATAATTTGAACAAAACTTAATAATAGAAGCAAAAAAATACTCGAAAAATACCGAGTGATGACTTCTGCCCACATAAAACTCTTCCGATTTCATTATCTAAGCGAAATGCTTTAAAATATAGTTGCGCTGAGCTGTCAATGTATATAGTGTTACGTCTATGGTGTGTGCCTGAATAGTTGTTTTGATACGTTCCTTCTCGATCAACTTACGTTGCTACAAGGTCCTTATTTTGGAATTAGTGTTTTGGAGTATACTTAGAGGCCGACGAACGAAAATGTTTTCGAATTTTAACCTAAGATTTTGAGGTATTTACTGTGACACCCCTAAGAAGTTTCAACTAACGTCTGTAACTTATTCCATCATGATATGTTGAAGTTGCAATATGGAACGCATGAATGAGCATTTCAGGTGTTTTTGACACGGCTACCAATTGTGTTATGGAATGCCACGAAATTATCATACACTATGATTGTACTAACATGTTAATAAGAGGGCAATTACCTGTCTATAGTGAAAATAGAAGGGTTGCCGTTTTATCACGCTGTTAAAAACGACTCGTTTCAGGGATAAAGATGTTGATTTCAACATGTAATTCTGTTAATTAGTGTGTAGCGGGTGTAACTAATCAACCAGACTGGCCTCTCTGTATTGGAGAGAAAAATCTCTGAACCATTGATGCATCCCAAACAAGGATACGCATCAGATATTGTTGCATAGATTAAAATGATACAAAATGTAAATCGTATGATTTTTAAGCTAAACTGGGTCATTGGAAGTAAGCAAGAACTACCTATTGTTCCAGTTGGATAGCAGTGAATCAATTGGGTACACTGTGGATCCCTTTAGTAAAGTGGTGTAATTAAAAATCCCTATAATTATGCTGTCCCTATAGATATCTTAATAGGATGCTCAGTAATTAGTCGAATTTTCGTCGAAGGATTTCGGCCTTCGAGTGGCCATTGATTCATAGCTCACAAAATTTCAAATTATTTTTGTCATAAAATTACAACAGGCATTATGAGTACCACATATGTGAGGTACTATTGTAATGGAAATACATTAAGGCCACTGCCAAAAAATGCTATTTACACCGGGAATGATTGCAATAATGTGGAGACGCATTTCTTGGGGTGACCTGTGGTGCTATTCAAGATGCTTTCGTTCGTGTGGCACGCTGCACCAGTTCTATCTGTATCCTTGAATTAGCTCATATAAAGATCATACGATCGAAGCGGCAACGGCCGCGATAATTGTTTCTGTGTCCGGCAACGGTAAAAGGTAAAAGTTGACATTTTCAGAAGCTGACTATTCAGACAGCGGCAAAGAGACATCAGCTAACTATGGCGGGTGACTCAAATATTTTAATTAGTCTACCTGTCCCTATCCCCATAGAAATCTTATGTGCCAGTATCATGTTGGGAAGGAACTATAAGGTATTAAAATTGTCTATTCACAAGTTTCAAAAGGCTCGGTGCGTTGTCTTATTGAGCTGACGGATGGCAAGATTTGCATTTTGCTGGCACTGCAAAAGCAACAAAAACGATTTAATTAATATCTCTAGGGGCATATGCCTAAGAAGCATTATATCGTACTATTTAGAAAAGCTACAAATGGATATACGAAAATCCTCGGCCCTTTATTTCAAAATGGGTCGTTTTAAGATAGTAGGGGCTAAGCAGCGGTTCCGGAAACGCCAGTATAGATATGATGTGTTTACTTTATACAAATATCACTTATTTGCCTCTTGGCAATACCGAAACTATGTTGTAACTGCTAAAAATGGAATTTCATGAAATTATCTTTTTTTGGAGTGTGATTCGCGGCCTGAAGCGTCCCGAGATGCTTTAAAATGAAGAACTTTAGCTATTCAGGCTATATAAAAATTCTACTCAGACTACGCGAGAGCGTTTCGACGCGTTGAAAGTTACTCACTAAGCAAATCCAAATCGTCTGCACGTTATGAAGAAAATACAAAAAACAGAAAAACGGGCTTCTCACGTATTGAATAAACAGCCCTGATCTGTCTCGCACGGCTATATTTTGCCTATTAAATAGATACCAACTCAAACTATTTCATGTTTTTACCGAAAAAAAAAAAAAGACAGGAGCTTCTATGCGTTTGGTAGAACAAAGAATCTAATAGGTTTCTTGACAGTTCTCCGTGAAACTGTTGTTAGATATTGACGTCACTGTCAAATCCGTTGGGGCCAAACTGGTTAGCTCACCTGAAGAATGAATCGTTTATCATGTATGGAAGCTGCGATACGATTGTGCTGGGCGGTAAAGCTCATCCTAAAAGTGCGCTAAACCATTTTCCTGTTGAGGACTGAGAGGTCCTCCTTCAGGCCACAGATAATTTTTACCTCCTTCGTCCAGCACTTCTCTAGATCAACGCAATGTTCTTTGGCCTGAAAGTTGTTTTTGAAGGCTACAATTAGCCAACGAGGTCACCAACTAATTCTATTCAGGAAGCAGGAACTTTTACTGAACAAATACGACGAGCTGCTTGTGAACGATCGAGTAAAATAAGTTATAAGATAATAAGGGAGTAACTTTAATGATTTAGGTTTTAGCACTGCTTTAGAGAATAAAGCTAAACTTTGCTAAAGAAAAAATTCAGAAGCGCTTGATATTAAAAATTTAAGATAATAAATAATTATATTTACAGAATTTGAATGTCAAATAATTAGCAGCATCTATAAAAATTCTGATATCTGTGAAGTGAATAGAGTTTAGAAGAATCAGGAAAAAGAGTCCAAAATGAATTAATTTCTCAATCCTAAGCACTAATACCTTCTTCTTTCGGTGTAAGATTTGTTTGGTAAAAATTACGTACTATGCGCTGTGCATCCAGGAGCTTTCCATGAGACAGTTTAGTTATAATACTGTGTAAGAGAGAGCTTGAATAGGATCATTAACACGGTCGTCTTGTGGACCTTGAGCAAGTCGTCCGATCCGCTTTTGATAGTGGCGGTCTTTTTTAAATCTGGACGATACATGCAGGTGCTTATGTGTGGGCTAAATGAACAGGTGTTTATATGGTGATCTAATTAAATATGGCGCGTCTTTAAGAGGGACTATGTGCGCGTTTGATGTGACTCTCTCGATAAACGTCACGTTTGGTATGCTTGTAGCCCCTGTTGTTAGATATCCAATAACATTCAATAACTTTTTTGAGATATATCTTTTTAGTTTTACGCAAAGTAACGTTTACTGTCAAATTATTGTGTTTTTATTGGACATAAAAATGGCGAGACTTTTTACAGGTGAGCTTTCTTTGCGAGACAATAGTAAGAGACGAGTCTCGTAACCGTGAGTATTTGTATATAAATAACAAGATGTCCTTTGAGATTTATCATCAACTCAACTCCTATTACGTTCATTCTTATTTATTGATTGAGTTTCTATACCATTTCGAAGCGATACACCTATTAGATCACGCTGTAGGGTCAGATGTAACAGTACATGTATCAATACCCTTCCGGCTCAAAACAGTCCAAATTGCCCTAGCAATAGGGAGCAATAGCTCCTCGGGAAGAAATTGTCACTAAGAATTTTAAGCTCTAACAGGCCATCTATGTTTATTCCCTCGGTCAGCGTATAGTCTGCAACAAACATTGTAGAGGAACTGACCCGTGGCTTGCCTGTGTATATTGGATATATATCTCACGGTATAATAATCGCAGTTTCAATTATAACGATTATTCTGTAACCAGGTGCTACCTCATTTACAGTCATGGCGTGTCGATTTTGTTTTGACTTTTTTAGCGTTGTTAACATGCTTAATAACGCTAAATTCATGCTAACGTTAGCCTTGTAAAGTCATTACTGTCGCATGCTAAAATCAAAAATATATCAAAAATTTAGATCTTTTTTTTTACAATTCCGTGATAAACCGAGTGTCTAAACTTTGTACTAGCGCCCTAATATATTTCATTTACCTTTTAGCTCAGCATTATGTTAGCTTCTTGTAACTTCAACGCTGAACTAGCTTAGAAAGAAACGGGGCACATTTTCGTCCCCTTTTGAAAATGAAGGACTCTTGCTTTCGGTAATGCCTATTTTGCCTAGTGTTAAACTACTTACAGAAATAAACATTTCTCTACGATTAGAATACGCATTGAAATGTTTCTGAGCGTTCCCATTGCTCTCGAATTCGCTATTCGAATTACTATGGGTTGTTGTTGTTGGCTCTCGACCTATCATTATTGCTGCGTTCAATACGGCATTGCCGCCAAATTTATTCAGTGTCAAAAGAGCACTATTTCGCATTGAGAACTTTGGAAAGATAGGTAAACTTTTCTGAATATATCTTACGTTGTTATCTTTCAACACCGGCTTCTTTAATCGCATCGTGACTTTCAAACATGACTTCCATTGGAACAAACATCTAACAGAGGACGTTTAACGTGACAGATATTTCAGACATAGAACTTCTATTCAGAACGCCTGTCTGTATCGCTAGGAGTGTTAGCCTGGATTTAACTGAAAGGTTATTTCAGCGCACTCAACCAAACTTCTTTTAACGATTATATTTTTTCACTGTTGCTCTACTACTATCGAAGCTCGTCGAAAGCTGAGTAAGGTATTCTAAGTAAGGTAAGTTAAGGCAAAAAACATAAAATCCTGCTATCAGCGAAGTAAATAAAAATGCTCAATTCTAACAGATCCGCTACGTGGAGTAGGTTCTTGACAGACATCGAGCTTCAACGTAGACCTTCGATAAGTTGAATCAGCATCACGGATTTAGGTACTCGCTTAAAATATCTATCATACTTGAAAAAAAAACAGAGAAAAATTGAGTTGTTCGCTTTGTAATATTTATCTTGACTAAGCAGGGCGCCGATTAAGGGACTGCTGGCTGCGACCATTTGATAATAACTTAAAACATTATCAGACTGCTGAAATTTAGCTCAGTATTATTTGTCAATATTCGACTGTCAAGAAAATGTCGACCCTTTTCTAGCTAGAGGGCATACCCTAAGCCATACCTTAAGCAATATGAGTCGCGCTCGAAAGCCAAACTTTGACAGTAGTAGATGTGCTAATATTATGAATTATCCTTGTTCAAATTTAAAATAGAACGCTTTGAATATGAGTGAAATTTCTGCAATGGTTTGCTTCATTGTACTATTTAATAAAAAATAAAGGCACAAATGCTGCTCAGGGCCACAAGGAAGGAGCGCTGTCTATGGTGGAGATGCGTCATCGGATGAGCTGATTCCACGATGGTCTTGTCCTTTTTGTTCCGGAAATTTCGATGTGTGTGAAGGATGCATTAATCAAAAAAAGCGATAGAATGATTGCAAAAGAGATTAGCCATAAGATTGTCAGTGCATCCGTTATTAAACCAGCTCAGGGCAGATAGCTACAAAACAAAAGAACCTCGGTGCTTGGGCACTACACGAATTGATCTAAAACTGTCGCCTAATTGTATTTTCATCTGCGAAACTTTATAAGTATGAAACAAAATTATTCTCCAGGGCATTTGGTCACGGCTAATGAGAAATAGATAACATATAATAATGTGCAGATAAAAACAATGTGGTTGACAATCTGTGGCAAAGCCCAGATTGATGTCAATGGGACTGGAAAGGATCATCCATTATGAATCGGTGGTGTCTGATAAAACGATTCATATGCACTTCTATTTTGACCAACCAACGACAAGCCGTTGAAAATAGTGAATAGAAAAGATGTCGTCTTCCACTGTGACAATACCAGACCCTATGTATCCTTCGCTGCCTGGCAGAACTTTAGGGAACTTGCGTGGTAAACATCAGATTAGCACTTCTTTCGGTCCCTGTAGAATTCCTTTAGTGGTTTTAATTTATTCCCAACGGAAGGATGCAAACATCACTCACCAATTTTTAATCCGGAAAGCATAACAGTGACAGGATTATAGTGTTAGAAGAAAAATGAGAGAAGAACAATTCAAAATAATACGTATTCACTTTAGTAAAATCGTTTCAGAATATGTATATATATGAAGTTGTGGCTTCAAAATGCTTGGCGTCTTTTCAACCATCTTATATATTAAATGTAGTTCTTTTATCCTCCGAGTATTAAGCCTATGCGAATACTGGGGTCGTGCCGGAGGGATATGTCGCGTGAGGTGTCCGACCCTGCTCATTTAACGAAGCCACAAAACTGGGATTAACGGCGCTAATATAGATGGCGTATAACCTACTAGTGGAGGTTTTTAAACCGCCGGGATACTAGCTTGAAAACATTCATAATAATGGGAGGTCTTACCTTTAATTTCAATGATCGATAAATACTTCAGGAGGCTAGTCCGATCACGATCGCTTCGCTTAGGGACCATCTTCCTATTGGTAACAATGCAGTCTTGGTCAGCGCGCATCCCCAGTAGGACAGTTGGGGTACAAGCCCAGAGCAGTCTCTCGATAAGCATCGTTCACAAATCTCCTGATTCGCATCATCGCCATCACGATTATGGACATGATTGCAGTTATAGCGATGGTCGGCCCAGTGATTTTTTCAATGAGGTTCGCGGCGTGTCAACAGCAGCCAGACAAAGCAACCAACAGCAAAACGCTTATGTTGGTCCTCGTATTCCGATCAGGTAGCAAAACAGAACCTTCACATAGTAAAATTCGAAAAAACTTTTTGCGAAAAGAAAAACGACCTTTATAGGTTTTGTTATTTAATATGCATTCGTTCAGAATAAAACTTTACACCCTGTCCCCTTGAACCTAAAGTAAATGGGTATAGGCCAACTGCAGTATATTCATCATTCTTTTATAGCACGAGAGAGCATTTGCAGATGGATTAAATTGGCACAATAATCTGCTAAATATAAAATCCGCTGTTCTATATATATTTTTATTTACCTTATTAAATAAGAACTTTAATACGAACAATCTTGAAAAGAATAGTAAACGTAACCATGCAGCAGTAGAAGAAAATGATTATGTATTTGATGTAACGTTGTCAGTTTTATATTAGTACATTCGTCTATCTCCTATAGGGCACAAGAACATTCAAAAATACACGCTGTTTATGTATTTATAATGTCAGTAGGATAGGTTAGGTCGTTACATAAATGACTTAGGCAGATTAATGTTGAAGACCTGTTAGCGACACAGCTGAGCTTTAACGTTTATTTACCTCAATGTCGATACTATAAAACAACTTGTCTACAGATTACAAAAAAGCTAATTAGCTCTTTATAAGCACAACAGAAAATATCTTTTTCCATCAATCTAAATTAAAAAACGTAAATTTGGTCGATGGTAATAACAACGATGATTTGATTATAGGTATGACATTGGTACTCCAGTGTCCCCGCGACCTCTACCTAGCTATCCAACACTTCGTCCAGCCCCACGGCCCAGATATCCTTCATCAAGGTACACAAGTGGCAATTGCTAGGCCTATCGAATACACAAATTAAAGCATAACTTTTTTCGTGATTTTCAGACTGTTTGTTATGCCGTTCATATACAGTGAATATTTATATTTGTCTTTATCCAGGCTAAGGCAATTAATAAGTAAATTGGTCGCCTAAAAAACAGACTGCTCGCATATTTTTAATTTTTCAATAGATTACTAATTACTGGATTTGTTATCCTCTGCAGCGCTAACGGCGAACTAAGCTGAAGGTGTGATTGGTCTCGAATTGAGGTTACAATGGCCATAACAATGTATGACCAAAAAAGAATATCTCAGTAAATGGTGATACATTATGTTTGGATGTGCTTGGCCTTTACGATAGGTTTTCGTCAGCCGAGATATCAAAAATCGTTAAGGATGCCAAGACGTTAGTAGACGAACGTCTGGCTCACGAGCAAAAAATCCTAATGGGAACGTATCAGGTGCCTGCCTTGGAACCGGATAGTGGTCATCAAGCAAAGCTTAACCCTAGATGGGCACTTTCGCCTGCAACACAGGGTGGTGCATTGACAACTAGGATAAGAAACACCTCTATCACGGCCCTTCTAGCCGAGGAAGCAACTCGACTTCTAGCTAACACGTAAGCTAAGTGACCGTGGTCGATACAAACAGATAATCACTATTTCTCACATCAGTCAAACATTCATACAACAGGTCTTTTCTATATTTGTACTTAAACAACATTAGTTCTGTGGTATCTGAGACGAGTTACATGAAACAATAATCGCAGGACGTACCGCTAGTACTATTATTATCATTAGATTCTGTATTCTATTTCAACACAACTTTAGGTACGCGTTAAATGGGCAGGCTGTCGCTCACGAGTTGCCTCTTGTCGATATACGCGGAACCGAGTTGGACCGGCAATGCTCACATCGTTTTGAGTATCCTTGCTATCCCCACAAGTACCGCTCCTATAATGGGCATTGCAACAATGTACAAAATCCAAATTGGGGAAATTCGGGCACCCGGTACGGAAGATTCTTAGCCCCCGATTATGCTGATGGTAAGTGATTTTTTCGTTGTTTTCTTCGTTACAATGCTCCAACGTACCGCTTTTACGTATCTATATTAGACATCCGAACGGTGCTTGTCACCTTCCAGACATTGCGTGTTCATATCTATAACAAGTCATGGCTTCTCTGATTCACCGCATATATTTTCTTCGTACGTCGTTTAAATCAACTTCCAATAAAAACCTTTATACTGGAACCACCAATACGGAAGGCGAGGTTTGACATTCAGCTTCTGTATACTCAAGGGATTTTCACACATACGAACGTACTGACGTACATTGGCAAAATGCGATAGAACTAGTCATAGATAAAATGATAGCCAGTTATATAAAAAAAAAAACCACATATGCCCGTGTGAGTTTCTAGGAGAAGTACAATCTCGACCTAAAATATAGGCAGTATTAACAGTATACAAATAGGTCGCTAAGGAATACACTACGCGCAACGATTTTTTGTGTAACTCACGCGGATTCGATCCCCATGCCGCGGGTGTGAACATTGGATATAGTTTATACTTAGTACAATTTGCTCTTGCTTTTGTGTAGCTTCTTACCAAAATAATATATCCTAGAATACAGATGATTATCTAATATCTACGGCCAAAGAAGGAGCTATTTTCGCCAACTATTAGTTTTATATGCTGTCGTCAGGAGCAGCATTCAATGTTAGAAGCAAAGACAAAAACAAATGTATGACACACCTACACTAGTCCGGTTTTCATGCTGCCGTAGATAAGTATACGTTATTTTTGTTTATCTAGTCTGGATTGAACTATGTGTTCATTATACGGAATACGTACGTTGCATATGTTGAAGAATTAATTTTTTGTTATTATTTTCCCCCGTTCAGAACAGTATAACTTGCTATTCATTCATACCATTATCCTAACGGCTATTAGTTATCGTAGTACAAAATGGATTTTCGGCGTTGTTACTTAAGCACAGTGCTTTATCGCCGGCAGCACCGGCTTCTCTCCGCATTAGACGTCGTAAGTTACGACGCGACATCTACAAGTAACTACTTAAATTCTTGATCTCATGAATATATAACGAACTACTACAAACAGATCGACGATTTGCTACATAGTACTCTAGAATTTACTGTTATTACAATAGTACTAATAGTAATGGTACGTCGTTACGTTATGTGCTAGAGCCTCTGAATTACTTTTAGCTCGATAACCCTATAAAGCATACTATGGTATTGTAGAAAATGCTTACAAAGCCAGTAGTGGGTGCATATATTCACATACGCCATGAAAGCAGACACGCTGATAGTCACTGAGGTGCTTATTCGTCACCGTTAAAACTTCGACAGTCACAAGGCTCAAACGGCCATTCCGTTGACTTCAGTGACGTCTGTGACATCCCCCGCGCACTTATTGTCGGAAGTGCCGCCCACAGACCACTCTGCATAATAGACTATTAATAAACAAAGGTCATACGGTGCGTGACGCTAAACAAGATTGGAATAGACGAAGAAAAATTGAAGTTTCCGACATTATGCCACTGGCTTCGATAACCACTAGTCCGAACTTTGTTATATCTATTTCTATATAATTTTTTTTATATCTACGTTTTTATATCTATTTATATATAATTATCTCTATCATTTAGTTACGCGTTTACAGTATACATACGTACACGTCAGGAGTTAACAGTGCGTGCATTATGTGGCACGTTGCGCATTTACGGGTTTTGGATCTGCATGTAGTTCGCGCATGCGGCGTAAGTCGGGTCCATTAAATCGGCAGCAGGGACGTTTTGGTCATCGGCTAGATTCTGTTAGATTTCTCTTGACATCTATCGAATTCTGTGATACTGCACAAATTAGCGAATAAGATAAAACCAGTAGCGGGCTGTTAATGGATGCAGATGTGGTCCTTTTGCTATGTCGCTTGCGTTCTTGTTCGAACGCTACACGGAGCAGACACATCTGCGAAAGCCCAAACCCACAACCGGAAACAGTTACCGAGTATTTCGCAAGTGTTTGACTTTCTGTGGGCGTTTAGTAATCCTTCTTTGCCCGCAAGGCCTAGTAGACAAGACCACGGATAGCAAAGCTTGAATAGTGCCAGGGTAAACATCGCCCTCCATAATAGAAACGTGGAGAACGTGTCTAGGATAATTTCTATGTCACTTTTACATATTGAATACTGTCAGTGCTCTTTAGCTCAGTACAGCTTCATTTCGTCATGGAGCCTGTCTGCCACAGAAAATGGCACTTAACTTAAACTTAAGCCTCCGTACGAACGAAATAATGCGTTTTTATCTTCGTTTTTGTGATAACTTTTCGTCTAAGAATGGCTCATCTTATTATCATTTCGGTTGTAAAGACGCTAGCACTGTCGTCGTATAGAATAGATTTCCGAAAGGAGCTGCGAGCGCTGTACATATACGGATATCTGTATATCACTTTAGAGAGTTATCGTGATTTCTTCCGATCTGTCTCGGACCATTTCCTTGCGAAGAAGCTTTTATATACGTGAATGTTTTTTCAATATGCACTTATTTTATTATAAATAGAAATAAGCTACTTGAATCACTTTACAGCATGTACTCGTTGTTGAACTATGTCCTTCCCTTAACGGATGCATGAACTCCTATGCTCGCACGTTGCCAGCTACCACCAAATGAAGAGTCATTTTTTATGATTCGGTAAACGCTCGTAAGGTCAAATGTGTTGCGCGATTCTGATTTATTAGTGTTTCTATAACGGGCCATTCATAGGCAGATAGCTCTTTGTTTTTACATCATGCCTGTTGATCCAAAAATGTACGTGCCACATATATTTAAAGTATAATGTATCAGCGATATTTTGAAAGTTCTGACCGAAAAATCCGATACAGTGCCGTGACTGATGGTCAAAATGCCACACTTTTATCTATCGGATCACTGAATCAAACACGATTCGAGTGTAAGTATGCGTTCGCTCTACATCAATGTATTTTGCACGTGGAGACACACACAACATCAATGTATATTCAGCATGGTTCATGTGACCGTATTTGTATACATGTCCGTGTGTAATTTTATTTGTGATCCATAGGTATATCGGAACCGCGGATGCGTTCATCACTCGCCGGTGGAGGTACGCTCCCATCAGCCCGGAATGTATCCCTTCGTGTTCATGGCGACGCAGATCAACCCCATCCTCATGTTAATGTGATGTTTGTGGCTCTAGCGGAATTCGTCGCGCTCGACCTCGCCAACACGGCGTCGTATGCAGGTATATAAACACATTGGACATCACCTCTGTATGTTGGTAGCCGTGGCCATCTAGCAGTTTTTTTCACTCGATGTTATCGAAGCGGTTCATCTGGAATGATGATGTATCAACTCTCCTTCATATGCTTGCTGATGGGAAATGCGCTTTTTTTATTACATCGAAGTGGTCCGCAAGCAGGTACGGTATGGCAGTAATTTTCTATATGCATATGACGCGCCCTATAGCGTCATTCTACTATTAAAGAGAAACCATTAGAATAGATGTGATACAACGAGGCCATATTAGATATAGGGCGACGTTGTCTCTGAGAGGCAAACAATCACCGGATCGAAGAGAGTTCCACTTTAGCCGAATTAAGGTTTACCTATAGGTTGTTGCTGACTGTTGTGCGCACGAGATGTGAACATATCGTACCACATCGTACCACGGAAATACACGTAGCCCTTGGCAAATGAGAACGGACCGCTTCACCTATAATGTGGCCAAACCCATTTACTGCAACATGTGCCGACTCATTCTGTGCCGCTCTTTCAGGCTTCATTAGACACAGCTTTAAAATTGTCCAACTCAAGATTAATCTCTGCCATCTTTATTTCCCGTGTGCGGAGCAACTTTAAATAAGCAAGAGTAACAAAAAGCTTGCATCTGCGTCGAAGATTTTGGATAAATAGCTGTCTGAAACACGTATTTGTTCATATAATGAACGGCATAAGTGTGTGGCGAGCTTTAAGAACGGTTTTGCTTCGATCACTGGCGAAAGATGTGCCCTCAGCAGGAAGCTATCTGGGGTCCTCGCGTTAGTTTGCGACGCACTCGACGGAGGTTCGACCGTTCCTGGACAAGATCATCCCAGATATTTAAAGCCTGTATTTCCTGCTCATCTTTATACAACAAAACAACTGTTCTGCAACTTTGGGGCTAGGGATGTAATCGAACTAACGTTACAGTTAAGCAGACAGCACGACAATTTACCAACAAACAACAAGTTCCTTTGAAACGTAACGGTCTCTCTTATGGCCTACAATAGACTCGGAATAGTGGCTTAGATTGTGATGAACGTGCGTGAGCCGAAGGTTAGTTTATACCAAATGTTGCTTTTTCTGCACAGCAAATGTGCACCCGTATTGAAAGCGAATAAAACTTATCCATATTTTGCTGCGGGCTCAGTGAAGGTTCCGAAGTTATTCATAGGCATTAGTTATTAATCGTTGACTTCATAACGATAACAAATTGACTAATATGCAAATTATGTATTAAGTATTGTAATATACTTGGTTTGTATCATTTCAATACAGTTGGTTCTGTAGACAGAATCGCGTTGCTCCGAGACACTCTTGGTCATTTCTACTTGTGTGGGATCGTATACGACTAGCCAGCCGCTTGACGGTGTCGAATGAGCGTTATTGGAACGTGCTGTTTTTATGTTACCGCGACCGGAAAGATCTGTGTGGGTTTTTTGATGATGATTCATTACAGTGACAGAGCGATATCAAAAGTCAACAACAACTTGCAATTCATCGCAGCTGTCGCGTCATCGGCCTAAGCTGGCCTGTATGGCCTACGCAGTTATTGTCGCTGCCGCTATTACCATTACATTCCCCGATCAACGGCACCTGTTTAAAAATCGATTTCGTTTAGAGCTTTGACCTTTTTTTAACTTGGCGAAGCACTAATTTGATCATGAACATTTTACTGTAAACTTCCCAAGATTTGGGAGCAACGTATCGTTATCGAATCAACTTTCCGACCAGGAGAAAGAAGATCTCCTGTAACGTATATGTACACTTATGCAAAATACGAGGAGGAAGTCTTCCACGTCAAAACAGTGCATGACAAAATGTACACTCGTCTATTATCTCGGCGAACGGTAGGAGAGGCTGCAAATTAGTGGGCAACTATTTTCTCTATTTATTCATTTTTATTTAGTAATTTTATGTGTAGAAATTCAGGTAGCCTTGACTGTTTTGCAGTGAGCCGGCAGCTGCTAACGCTATTGCGCTTGGGCCATATAGATGGCTACAGGTGGCCGTATCGATTGCTGTAACATCTAGTACTAATGTGTTCCATAAAAACAATTGTTGAAATTAACAAAGCATAGGATTTTTCCTGGTTGATGTTTATATTTGACAGTGTTTACTATGTCATTTTCGAAGATATATGCATGTGATAATTTTTCAAGTATGTCGATAGGTCGTACTGTATGTATGAGAGTTGGCTTCGGTTGTTCGGCTCTACACGCGCCAGCTAAGCGTAAACTCAATAATGAATTACAACCTGGCCTGATTTAAGGAAGGTTCATAACGTTTGACGTGGAAGCACGCCCAGTTTCTAGCACATTTACCTTTTTATGACCTGAAAAAGAGTGTATAACAATGGCAGCTTCTCGTTCGTATCATGCAACTATATACATTGAAATTTTCTTATGTATGATAAACAACGTTAGAAGTCTTCAGTTTATATTAAAGCAGACATGTTTCGATTTATCTTTGTCACTAAATCTGATTTGATCAAATGTTTTTTCGATACTCTCCTCACAAATAGGTAAAAACTAATTTGAAGTGAAAACGATCAACTTAGACCATATTATCATATTATTAGAAAAGAAAAGCCCTGAGACGCTAAAGCTTTCTAAGATGATTTTTAATAATTTCTTAACAATCTTTGACAAAAGTAAATATCCAGATGTGATCTTTGTTGAAAATCCGGCAAATTTAGCGAAAAAAATAATAATTAGTAACGACGATCACATACGCTGGCAGAATAACGACAAAAACGCTCATGGTTTAAACAAAGCGCAGGAAGCGTTCTGAAAGTAATGTTACCTACTATATATA